ATTTGGTTTTGATAAATGTCGAAATTGGGTCTGATGTTAGGATTCTTTGGCAATGTGGCATCCACGGAGAGAGGAGGGGTGTTGTTGGCAATCTGATGTTATGAAGGTGACTTTGAAAATCTTGGATACGATAGAGGTGTTTGTGAAAACTAGTAAGTGGTCCGTGCAATGCACGGGGAAACAATATTATAAATTATGTATATAAATAATATTATCGTGATTTACCCATTGTTTTTTAAATATAGTCAATTTATCAACCAGTCTGATTCATTTGATTAAAATGTTTGTTAGCGAATCGTTCAACACCATCCAATTGGGCTGGTAAGATCGGTACGATTTTTTATATAAAATTTGTTACATGTAAAAATATTTTTAATATAAATAAAAATATATATTTAAATAAAATAGAGATTTAGGAATTATTTATCAATTAATTTAAATTGAAAATTTAAAATTGTTTAGATATTTAATTGATACTTTTTTATGTAAATTTATTATAGAAGTGTATTGATACCTGATTTGACCTCGGTTAATTAAAATGCTTCGATTTGACATCTATATTTTACATACAAAATAAATAAATAATTTTATTTATCTTTATAATTAAACTTATATTACTTAATAATATTAATTTAAAAGAATAAAATTATTTAAGCTAACTTAATTATAAAGTAATTATTTAATATAAATTCAAAAATTATAATATAAGATAGTAAGTCATGCAAATGACGGTGAATATAAATAATAATTTATTTTTTTCAACAAATTAGTATTTAAAAACTAAAAAAAATTTTGGTTATGTTTGGTAAAACTAGCTGATAAGCTAGATAATAACTGATAAGCTAACTTATGATTTATCAGTAATTTTCGAGTTTATAGCTTATAACTTGTGGCTTATAGCTGAAAAACTAGCTTATATTATAAAAGTTTTAGTAAAATTAGTTGATAAGCTAGTTGAAATAAAAATAACAATTGACTTATTTGAAAAGTTACCCAAATAAACTTATAAGATAAACCCGAGTCTTTAAAAAAAAAAAGCTTAGTCCTACTAAACGAAACTTATTTAAATGTAGGAAGCTTATAAACTAACCAAATAAGCTATAAGTTAGCTTATTTGTCTACCAAACATAGACTAATTGTTATTATTATTTAATTTTATATATAAATTTCTTAACAAGTACCTGCGTAGTACATGAGTATTGTATTAGTACTGATGCTGATGAGGACGGTGGAATTGAGCTAAATTTTGAGTCTAATAAAAAACTAATTTTAATCAATTTTAAATTATTACCAATCACCCACTAATTAGTACAAAATTGAACAAAAGTCCCTCAACTAATGGAAAAAAATATAATATCCAAGAATGATAAACTAACAAATAGTCGGAAAAATAAAACAAAAAATACACAAGTTATTCGTTGTATAGTGATCTTTTTTCTAGTTATCATATAATTTATTTACACACGTCTATAATTATTCGTTTCACGATCTTCTAAATAAATTATATTTAATAATTAATTTTTATGCTACATTATTTTACGTCATAAATATAATTATTTATTCCTATTATATGTTTATAACTATTTATTTTTACTATCTTCTAAATATTTTTTTTTTCCAAGACGATAGATATTATTATAAATCAAAGCACACAAATGTGCGAATACAAGCACTCCTAGCTAAATAAAAACAACCAATAGCTGAAAAGTGGGAGGACAGGACAGAAGACCGCCTAGAATCCCGACTAGCAACGCTAGAATAAAACTCACAACTAAACTAACCAACTACTCAAACAACTAAAAAGACCCTAGCAGGATAATAAACCGAGTGTCGGATCCCAACATGATAATAAGTTGACACTCGAGCGCACATGGGCTAACGACCCAAACCAAAAACACAATTCTAAACAACACTCAGACACAACCATAAACAGTGACATCACAAAAACAAGAAAAACAAAAAAACTAAAATTAACACACACAACAACCCTTCCCCGGCATACGAACATGCCAAACAGCAGTGAACAATCGACACAAGAAGGAGTCCATTCCCGAGTAACCGCTACCGAAATTGCGCAACCGCCTATACAGCTGCCGAACCCGAACCCGAACCATTCTAAGAATCGACCCATCTCCAACCTAGAAAAACCGACCATTCTACGCTAGCTCCACCCGAGCCCAACTAACACCACTAGCCGAGCTCAATAGAACCAGGACCGCGGTCCCCCGCCGCCTAACACCACTAGCCGAACAGAGGGGGCTAAAGGTGGCACGGTTCTCAACCTCGTCCACCGCAACCGGAAGACGTCGCGGCAGCCGGAGCCTCACCCAATCCTCATAACCACACACCACCGAACACCACTGCAGAAACCCATCGACGAACTACCAACACTCCACCGGAGAAAGCAGAATCGCCAATCAGGTTTTGGCATACCTTCGTTAGTCGCAAAAAAAATCCGAGAAAGAGAGAGCATACCTCTGCCAATCGGGTGTCCACCGGCGACTGTGAGGGAACCACCCATCGAAAACCGGCCTCCGATCAAGGGGACGGCACCTCGAACCTCCGATACGCAGGCGACCGACATCATAGACCATTCATCAGAACCGCAGCAACATAGAGGCGCACGACATCCAGGACGGGCGAGAGATCAGTGGCGACCGCTGGCCAAGCTCTGATGTCACCGAGGAAGGCAGATCGAAGACAATTGAAGGAGCGGCAGGCGGATTAAGTTATTATATTTTTATCTTATCAATATCATTATTATTCCGATATATTTCTTTCTCCAAGAATTGTTTCAAACGAAATAATATTTCATTCAAAGTATTCACAAATGTGATTCAAATTAAGCATGTCTTCTATCGTTTTTATATAATTAAAAAGTACATAATGTTTCACATTCAGATTAAGCAGATCTAACTGTTGTTTTTGTTTAATAAAATTCACATACTATATTATGAAATATTATAATTATAACCTTTAAATAAGTAATTATGATATTTGCTGTGATTATTTATTTTTTCTATTTTAGATTTCTAAGGATAAAAAATGCATTGTTATTGATCTCACAAATGCAGCTCACTTTCTAAAGTGAGCAGCGTAGGCACTTGACCTATAAGCATTATAACAATTTTAAAGTTTTCAGGATAAAACACATTCCTATTGACCTGTTTATTTTAAAATCAAAGTCTACAACGTGTGACAACATTGCATGGCATGCCATTTTATACCAAATTAGAAGGCAAGACCATTGAAAATGATTAAATAAGTGTGCCACTTTACCTTAATTTCCGTAAGTGGAATGGTAACTGCAAACTTTGGGTCAATTTTGCCGGCTTATCAGCCTCTTGTTTCTTGTTACAATAGTGAAGATAGATTTCAATTCGGAAAATTTACATACTTAGATTCCATATACGAGTTATTTTCACATATACGATTAGTCAAAGTATTTATCAAGAGGGGATTTGGTGGAGATTTTATTATCACGCTTACGATATGTGCTTCTCTTTCTAAGAAATCCGTTTCTTTCTTCAAAATAAAATAATGCCATTAATATGCTCGTTCTTCACTTTCCAAGAAATCCGTTCTCTCTCGAAAATAAAAATCATGCCATTAATATGCCCGAAAAAAACCGAAATTCAAAAAAAAAATAAAAAATCATACAATAATG